TCAAGCCCTTTGATGTTGGTGATGGGGAGTGCAGGTCTCCAGCGCAGTGGTCCAATTTGTAGGTGTAGCACTGCTTCGCCGTGTACAGGTAACTTGCTGCCGTCCACCATCGTTGCAGAGAATCCTGAAGGCTTGTACTCTTCCCGAAGTCGGTCGATCATTGCCTTGTCGCAGACGGTGTGTGACGCTCTGCTGTCCACGAGTGCTTGGAGGCGTCGTCCTTTGCAGATGACCTCGAGCACGAGGGGCAGTCGTTGCTCGGAGTACCCAAAGATAGTTTCATTGATTGGGTCATAGGGTACATCCCAATATTCCGTACACACCTTTGTGTTGCTGTCTACTCCTGAGCTGGCAGCTGGCCGAGGCTGCTTGGAGAACGGCTCTTCTCCAGGGCCCGGAGTTTCCTTGACGACTGTGCGCGTCATTGATGCCGAAGAACTGGATGCATCCGTAGAAGGAGTTCGGGGTTTTTGCAGCTTCTTGTAGACCCCCAGCTTCCTTTTAAGCTGCTTCAGCTCCACTGACGTCTTCCCTGGGGAACGGGTAGTCGATGTGGGCTGGTGTCGGGAGAGGACGTTGACTCCGTGGAAAGGTCGGCTTCTTTCCACACTCCTTAATTTGGTCCCCAAGTTGTCCGGTACCGGTATAATCTCCACAGCTGTCTGCTTCTTTTGGAGTCCCTCCCGAAATTTCTCCGAGGCTCTAGCCCCTCGAACATCATAAGTTTTCATTAAAGCATCTTTATAAGATAACTTTAACGAATTCTTATAATTTCTTGGGTCTTCAAGGAGTTTCCCTGTCTCGGCAGAGTCTTTTTTCGCGGAGTCGTATTTTTCCTCGGCGATTTTCCCTGGCGAAGACTGGTCGTGGGGTGGAGATTTTCCCCCATCATTTCCTCCTTCTCGCGTCGAATCAGCTTCGTCGAAGTTGATTTTCCCGGAATCCCGCGGCCGTTTCCGGATCTTTTCTTTTTCGCCAGCTAGATCCGCAATCACTGGCGACCCCCGTTTTTTGTCTTCTGATTGGCCGAAAGGTTTCCGCCACTGTTGCGTGCCCGATACTCTGCGCGTGCGGCCTTCATTTTATTGCAGTCGAAGATTCGGTGGCCCGGCACCCCGCAAAAATCACACGTGTAGTTGGTGTTTTTCGGACGTGGCCGCCCCTCGAATCTGTCGACTTCCATCGGGTCGGCGAACGTGGGGTGAGCCGAGCGGTCGCCCTGTCGCGTACTGCCGACGTGCGTCCGTCGTGTTCCGGCGTTGACCATGTCGAAGCGCTCCGCGGCCGAAACGACGTCACTGTAGCTCGTGTAGTTTGACGCTGCCACCTGTCGTTTGACTTCGGTCTTCAGCCCTGCGAGGTACGATTGCACTTTTTCCCCTTCGGTCAGGTCGGGAATTCGGTTATAAAATTCTTCCATCTGCTGCGTGTACTGTGCTACACTCCCGAACTGTCGATGGCGATGAATTTTTTCGCGGGCAAGGAAACCTGAATTTATCGGCTCGAATCGTTTCAGCAGGTCGGCGCGGAACTGCTGCCACGAGGCTTCACCGTGGATGAAAGTACTGTTGCCGCCAATCCACTCGAGTGCCGGCCCTCGCATCAGTGTCGCCGCGAGTCGTACACGTTGACCGTCCCAGACTGGCGAGCTCCATCCGACGGCTACGAAGTAGATCTCCATCCCGGCGATCCATCTGCGGGCGTCAGAGTTTCGATCGCTCGGATCGAACGGCTCAGGTGGGCGCGGTTTCGGAGCCTCGAGAAACTGCTGCGACTGCTGCGTCGTCGCCGTTGTTGTCTCGTGCTGCGCTCCGGCGAGTCGAGTTACTCGCTCGAACTGGTTTCGCCACGCTTCGCGATCCGCTCGCATTTCCTCCTGAAGGGCTGCGATGCGCGCGAAGAGCTGCTGGGTAACCTCGGCGTTGTCGAAGGTTGCCATCCTGTTCAAAACACGCACGGAGGGGGTAATTCGAAAATCGCGGAGCTGGTGCTTACCAGAATCGGCGTCGAATTGGTCGCCCCCGGCGGTTTTTCGAGGCAGGTTTTCCCGCTGCTGCTGCTTTGTTGAGCGCGGCCGAGTGAGAAAAGCTCTGATTACCAAGTGTCACAGGATCGAATGTGTCGAGGAAAGGTTGCACTATCGATCAGTACAAGGCGCTTTTATACTTCCAGAGTACATCAGGTAACCAGGTTTATCCTATCCAAAGGAATAGACCCTTCTAGAATATAGAATCACCCTGCGTATAGCCACGAGAGGCCATTGGCTTTAAGGGATTACGGCAGGATTACGCTAGATATAGCGCACCAATACATCCCAAGCCCGGTCGGTGATATACTTATAATAGCAGGATAAACCAAAGGTTAATGGGAAAGGAAGAATAGGAACCCAATTGAGATGCGGTAAAAAGAGAAATGAAAAGGGAAGGAAATAAGAAAAAGCCAAGTGGTGTAACGGGGTCGTACTCTCACATGATCGTTGGCTCTGATGGCCAGGTGTAATGAAGCACAAGGAGCGTGTGTCGAATAATTGAGTAGCGAGGAAACAACGAAGCTCAATCATTCGATACACGCTCTTTGCACTTCATTAGAGTATTCCATAATGGGGTTATTTTTAAGGGTAATTACTCGGATTTTGACTACATAACGGGTGGTTTTTTTTCCCAAACTCGAAATTTCACGTGTTTAGATTTTATAAACCCTGATTCTGAGGGGTTTCTTTTGACTTGTACCCGTGAAGTGACGTGTAAAGTTTGCGAAGTACACCGATTTGACGGGTACACTTAAAAAAAACCCGAATGCTAGCACTAGCGAAACCACTCCCCCCCCCCCCCCCCCCCCCTCCCCCCACCTCTACCCCTCTGAGGAAGAGTTGTTGTCGTTGTTCAAGAACAAACTTCCAGGTGAGTTGTGTCAAGTACAAGTGCTGGTTCTCATCCTTACGCATTACATATTGAAATTTGTTCATGCTCGCTCTCAGCTATGTCTAATTCCCCCAAGTTTTTGTGCTTGAGCAGGTGTCTCCAAATTTGTGTGCTTGAACAAAATGCCTATCTTCACCAACACTTTGAGCGCACGGTAAAAGATAGGCGACATAGCAAGTATATTATGTAGGCGTGTTAGGTGTGTTTTCATGCGGAACTGTAAATATAGTTGTACCCCTTGGTTTTTTTTTGTTTTCTTTCAATAAAGACTTATTCACATAAAAACCATGCTTTTCGATATTACGAAAATTTACCAGGAATCTGACGTGTCTGTTTTTTCACATACCCGGATTGTAACGGGTGACTCTTAACTAATACCCGTGATATCCGGATCGCGCGGGAGCAGAACTCGGATCTGACGTGTAGGCAAACATCCTGAAGAGCGTGTCCAGAGTGGGACGTCGACATCCGATTACGTCCATTGTGGAACATCAAGGGATGTTGACCGTCGATGAAGACGCATCCATGGTTTGCATCCCTCGACAGCCCCCGACGTCCCTCGACACCCCACTCTGGACACGCTCTAAGGTAAGGCCTGATTCCATCCCTTCCAGATCACTGATACTGCCTTGCTCCGTCCACTCTACAGAACCGTGTCGGTGGCAGATGTCAGTTGCTTGTAGGCATGGGCGAAGAGGACCTGGATTAGGCTTTTCGTGTCATTGTACTGTAGTTACCCTTCTACTTCAGGGCGGTTTTTCATTTCAGATACCCGTACACTTTTACGGCCATTTTTCCGAGCATGGGCATGCGCCAATTTCGTAATTTCGCATTTGGGGATCTGGTAACCCTTCTGGCTTTCTCCTCCGTCGTTGTTTGGGAGTCGGTTCAGGAAGCGACCATTTCACCCTCCTTGAAGAAGCACCCATGGCAGGACGCGACGCCGCGTCACCGCGCTTCTAGAGAGGCCATACAAAGATGCTTGTTTTGTTAGAGTGTGCGAGGCAGAGCCATCTATATTCCGAACTTTGCCGAAACTCTGGCCAGCAGAAAGATCACCCCTTTTTTTTTCGCGGGGACCTACGGTTTACGGGCAACCGGGTGTCAAATGCACTGGGGAAACCGTATGACATTCACGGCTGACGAAGCACTCATTTCTCTAGTGATTTTAGAGCTGTCTATTGCTTGGCACTGGTCAGGCGCCTTTGGCTCTACTGTACGTCGAAGTATCCACACGTGTGCGAACACCACTTCGGGTTTCCGGGTTCCAATCTTGTGGTGCATGTGCCACCAAAACGAATTCAGCCCGAGCCCTTGGTGAAAAGCGGCATACTGTAGTAGTCTTTGCGTACGACGACGAGAATTTCATCGACTGCCCGTTTCGCGCAGACATCAACACTGTTTCTGATTACCAATCCAAAAGCGCCACATTTACGTAGCTCTGCCCACTCTCCACCATGGCGACTTGACTCGGCTTGGGCCTGTTCGCCTCCCGATCTTGCTTCACGTTTCCCCCTTGCCCGCATCGCATTCCACAATTTCGCTTCCTGAGGGCTGAATTCGACCCTCCCACTCGAGCTGCTTGTCAGGAGCAAAGCGGATTTTCAGCCCAGAAAAGGGTAGTCTCCAGAGAGTGTTTGGAAAGATGGGGCTCACAGATTCTAATGCGGTGGAACGGCGCAACTCGCTTCCAGCCTCTAGCGTCTGATCCACGGGGGGATACGAGGTTGAGAAGTTGAATTAAAATGTCTGAATTCTCATTGTCCTCGCTCCTCCTCCTGCATGGACGTGAGGGTGTGACCCGTCAAGGTCTTCAGAACTAAAAAGTGTTCCAAATCCCTGTTACAGTTACTACTTCCAGTTCACTGGGGAGATTTAAAAGAAATACCTACATTACCCAGGTTGTCCTTTTCCTAACCTTGAAGGGACAACAAGCGACAATCACAGTATACGTTTCTATTCGGCTCAGGGCATATGGGTGGCTGTCTTGCGCCCCCCTGCTACGTCAAAGGGCGTGGCGTGGTCGATTGTGTGTGGGTGAGGAGGATATAGTTTCGACTGAGTGCACCAGGCCATCGACTGTCACTTCACTTCACTATGAGCCATGTCTTTTGTCGCTTCAACTTTGAATTGCTCTCACCCGTTCTCCTACCTAGCCTGTCCGGCTGTCCGCCCCACGCCGCCCCAAGCTACTCTCGAACTTGTGCCGCCATGGCTCGCGCCTCGCCCGCGTCGTCAGCCGTGCGCCGCTTCTCTCGTCACCTGCCCCTCGTCGTCCTCTTTCTCCTCTTCGCCTCGCCAGCCCGCGCCACGACGCAGGCCGGCCTCGACAACAACAACGTCAGAGACAATAGCGTGACCGCTCCAGACAATAGCGTGACCGCTCCAGACAATAGCGTGACCGCTCCAGACAATAGCGTGACCGCTCCAGACAATAGCGTGACCGCTCCAGACAACTTGATCCGCCAAGGCAATAACGTGATCCGCCAAGGCAATAACGTGACCGCCCCAGACAATAACGTGACCGTCACGGGCAATTCTGTCAGCGGCGGCGCGAGCGGTGGCGCCGAGGGGGGGGCCGCGGCGGCGGCGGAGGAGGAGGATCCGTACCTGGAGGAGACGCCGGAGGTGCGGCAGCTGGTGGAGCGGCTGGAGCGCATCGCGGGGAGCATCAAGAACCCCTGGGAGGTCCTGCTGCACCTCGACCAACTCTTCGCTCACAACGCCACCGCCGCGGGCGCGCGGGTGTCGCCTCTGGCGAGCGGCGAGTGCGGGGCGACGAAGGCGGAGATGCGCAAGGAGGTGTCGCGGCTGGCGTTCAACCTCAAGTTCCGCCCCATCAAGTACACCATCATGGGCCGCTTCTTCAGAAACCTCGCCAGAAGCGCCCGTGAGTCCCCGCCACGCCGCGCGCACGCCGCGGTGATTCTTGAAGGGCATTTCTCTCACTTGCGCGTCGCCCTTTTCATTCGTTTTGTTTCCGCTGCACGTGCATGCTGCGCGCCGAGCCTCAGTCCTTGCCGTTCCTAAGCATGTGTGCTGTTGTGGGCACGTGGTTGGCAGGGAAGAAGGACGCGGACCTGTCGTACCTGGGGTGCCGCACGTACCTCATCCCGTCCAACTTCGCGATCATGAACGTGATCGCCAAGGGCGCGAGCGACTTCAAGTACCTGCTGCTGGCGCCGCTGTACAACATCATCAACGGCACGTACCACTTCAAGCGCCTCATGGGCATGCCGCACAGCACCACCATGCCCACGCTCATCCCCGGCTGGCCCATCGCCAAGTACTTCACGCCCGTCACGCCGCTCGCGCTCATCACCTTCGGCGGTACCTTCGTCGCCGTGGGCACGCCCGGCGCCAAGACCATCTTCGCGCGCCTGGGGTGGGCGCAGATAAAGGACCCCGACATGTACTGGGGCAAGTACCTGGCGGCGCATGGCGTCAGCACCATGGTCATCCCGCGCTTCAAGATCAAGACATGACGCGCCGCTGCGCACACAGAGGCCTCGCGGCGATGCGCATCCTGCAAGGTCGCCGCGTGGCACATGGCGGTGCTGTTGACCGGCCACCAATTTTGAGTGTTGGGGGTGGGGGGGGGGGGGTATGGGATGGGGATGGTGGTGTGTGGTGGGGTTTCCCGGGTGATGCGTTAGATCAACCTGCTCTTGAGGTTCCTCAATTGTTGACTACTCAGTGCTTGAGGCTCCTCAAGAGCGGGCTAGGCTTTAGAGCGGGGTTACTGGTGGTGGTCTTGCAGCCTGCGAAAATCTAGTTTGGTCTTGTTCCTGTATCTTGTGTTTAAGCCATACTTCCGATCTTGAGTGCATATTTCTTTGACAGTACTCGTTGTCACCCAATGTATGTCGCAACCGAGTCTCCACTCCTGCCCAACCACTGCCAGAAAAAAGGGTTTCTTGCCGTTACACTACATTTTCACCCACAAGATCCTCTTGTGAGACATGGAGGGAAGCACTAGCATGTGGTGTGGGACAAAAGCCGAGCCATGCGAGCGGTCGTGGCTGTGAAGGTGACCTGGAGGTCACATGGGGCGACCAGCCCACGCAACGACCTCATGGTTGTGATGGACAGGAGTGGACTGGGCCCACACCAGACACCGCAAAGCCCAAAAGTGGCACAGGATGTGAAAAGCACGCGAGAGCACTGGAGAGAACGAGCAATGGGCAAGGGTATGTGCAGGTAGCTGTGGCTCACCGGCATCACATGTCATGCAAATGATCTCCAAGTGGCTACAGATAAGGCAAGCACTAGGCGAACATGCGACGCAGGGAGGCAGGGGTAGTCTACTGGAGGAAGGCTTGAACTCGGGGAAAATGTGCGGACGGCATAGGAACTGTAGCGGTACATTAGTGGTGGCCAGATGCAGCGCCGTCAGGTTGAGTGAGGGCACCTGGTTCCGTGGCAGCAGCGCACGATTCGTCAGCGGCAGCAGGTGCAGGTGTGCTGTGAGCAGCAAGCGCATGGGGCTTCGCATCAGCAGTCACACAGCGCAGTGCACCACCACAAGCAGCATCCGCATTACCCGCAGCACCCACAGCAGCCACAGCATCTGCAGCAGGTAGGTGAGCCAGAGGTGGCGGCGGTGCAGGTTGGCCTGTTGTGCCTGTGCTTGCGGACAGTGACGCCTGTTCCACTGCTGCTGCTGCTGCTGGTGGCGCGTCAGGTGGCAGAGTGGCAGGAGGGTTCATGGCAGGGAGTGGCGCGTGGTGGGGCGCACAGGGCGCCGCACATGAGCCCTGCGCAGGGGCAGCACTGGCAGGCGCGGAGGGGGCGAGTAGGCCATGCGGTTCCAGAGCAACAGGCACAGTGGAGGGCGGCTCTAGGAGTGACGGCACGGGGGAGGGGGGGGGCAAGAGAGGAGAGGGCGAGAGAGAGGGATGGAGAGGCGAGGTGGGTGGAATGTCAGGAGGCAAAGGCGTGGAAGTGGCAGTGGCAGGCGGGGGGAGAGATGACGGGTTGGTGGTGGTGGTGGAGATGGTGGTGGTGGATGGGAGGCAGGAGGGAGTGAACGATGCGAGTCCTGCAGTCATGAACCTGAGGACGGAGAGACACAGCACGAGAAAGAGGCCCAAAACTGATGCACACACATTGCCCAGACGATCAGAAAGAGACGAGAAACAGGAAGGTAGGGGCGGAGGAAAGTAGTCAAGTGATGGCCAAACTTGTGTTGTGGGATGTACGCTTGTGGCCATGCTGTTGCGCGAGAGCAGATACAAGGACCCCTTCAGCAACTCCCCCTTCCAGAGCCCCCCCCTTCCCCCCCCGCACTTGCCTCTCTGCCTCGGCCTTCCACCTGAGCATCTCCCGTTCCGCTGCCCGCCTGCCCGCCTCCTCCCGCGCGCCCCTTTCCCTCGCCTCGGTCAGCGCCGCCTGCAGCAGCGCCAACTCCGCCCGCGCCCTCTCCGCCTGCTGCTCCGCATCCGCCCTGCCCGCCTTGGAGCCCGCCTGCTGTGCCTCCGCCTGTGCGAAGCGCGCCTCCAGGTCCTCGCACAGCTTGCCCGCCGCCACACGCACCTCCTCGCGCGCCCGCACTGCTGCGTCGCGCTCGCCCGCTGCCTGCGCTGCTGCGGCCGCAGCTGCATCCGCGGCGGCCGCTGCCTCCTCCAGGCGCGCTGCGAGGCTCGCTAGGGCTGCGTCGCGCTCACGCAGGGCAAGGGAGAGCGCGTGGATCTCCTCGTCCTTCACACGCAGGGTCTCCTGAGCAAGGGGCAGAGGGGGGAGAGCAGGAGAGGAAGAAACAGGGGGAATTGAAGGGGTAGGATGGGGGAAAAAGGGAGGGCGAGTGAGCTCCAGTGCAGTGCAGCACGATCTCACCTTGAGCAGGTGCACGCTGTCCCCTGACTCCGCCCCACTGCCATGCACGTGCCCAGCACCCAAGCGCGCAGCAGCGGCAGCGTTGGCCTCAGCACTCCCTACTCCCCCACTGGACGGCCCACCAGCGGCGGCGCCCCTGCCACCAGTAGCAGCAGCAGAGGTGGCGGCGGCAGCAGCAGCGATGCTGTGCGGCGTGAGGGCGGCGGCAGCAGGGGCAGGGAAGGCGCCTGTGAGCGAGAAGAAGGTGGTGGCGGTGGCGGCGCCGTGCTGCACGGCACGCACGTTCGCCTCCGCCACGCCCCGCTGCGCCTGCCCTGCTGCCTCCACCGCCGCTGCCGTCGCTGCTGCCACGGCTCCTGTGGGGGGAGGGGGAACGGGCATACCGGGGGACAGGGGTAGCACGCACAGGGAGAGGGAAATGTAGGGTATGTGGGTACAGGTGTAGAGAGGAGGATGGAACATTGCACGCACAGCAGCGTGCACAGTAGCGAGCATGGGAACCCGCATAGGAGCATGCATAGGAGCACGCATAGGAGCACGCATAGGAGCACGCATAGGAGCATATCCGAGACAGCAGCATACCCGAGACAGCAGCATACCCGAGAGAGCAGGTTCATTGGAGGAGCCGAGCAGGCTGACCGCGGCGCGGTGTGCCTTGAGCACCTGCGCTGCCGCCCTGCCACCTCCCACTCACACACGTGGAGGACGGGGGAGGGGCAGGGGTAGGGGCGGGGAGGAGGGGGAGGTGGGAAGTATAGAGAGAGTTGAAGGAACTAGCTTGGAAGAGAAAAGATTGAATTGAGTAGGGAGCCAAGAGGCTCTTTTTGTACAAAACAAGGAGCAAGGAAGAGTTGGAAGGGAAGCTCTCCTATTGGCCATAAAGTGGACCAATGGGGGAGGTTGCTTGTAGGGCAAGCAACCACAAAAGTGTGGTGCTCTCCTATTGGTCACAATGTGGACCAATGAGAGAGATTGCTTGGAAGGCAAGCAACCACAAAGTGTGGTGCTTGGTGATTGGTTGGTTCCTAGGACCAAAGACCATTTGGTTGGAATAGTGCCAACCAAATGTCTAGGACCAAATCCAATCTTGACCAACCCAAATGTGGGGTTGGTCAACCCAACCAACAACCCCCCAATAATTATAATGACTACACCTCCTAATCTAGGCATGCATGTTGTATAGATATATATTTTACAACAAGAGTTAGAGGGTAAAGCCATACTGGCAGTGTTGGGTGGGGATGCAGGTTACCCATGTGGGGAGGTAGGGAAAGCGAAGGGAGGGACAACATTGCAGGGGTGGAGAAACATTTGGCTCGACACCACAAGAGAGAGAATGGAAGCCAGGGATTGGACCACACATGGCGTGCCGACGCCTCTGACTTGCAAGAAATATGTGGCAACTGGTTGCGACCCGGCACTAACATGTCGCCAAATGATAGCCCCAACTTTCACCTTCTCTTCAGACAGCTTACAAGGTGCCCAAATGCGCAGGTAAACGTAACTGCTAAACAGCAAACGCTACCCATGTTTCGGGAAAAATTAAGTTGCCAGGGAAAGTTAAAAGGATACTAAATTGCTGGTGCATGACGGCAGGAAATTCACGAGCAACGAGGGGGTAGAGCTGAGGATGAAGTCTCACGACTCAAGGCGGGGTGCAGTGCACATGCTGCAAACCCACCTGATGGTGCCGACCCACCTGATGGTGCTGACCCACGCCCTGGCGGCCTCTGGCGTCTCGGCGCACAGAAAGTACTCCTTCTTCCCCGCCGTGCCCACGTCTGAGGGGAGGGCAATACGGGGAGGGCAATAAAGGGAGGGAAATAAGGGGAGGGGAAGTGGGGTTAAGGGCGGAATGAGGAAGGAGATTCAGGCATGGCAAAGCGGGAACATTCTGGTTGGACGTGCGATGTGCGGTGAGAAGCCTGCGGCGAGCTGTGGCATGGCATGGAGGCCATGTGATGTGCACAAGAACGAGTGGTGAGACAGGTGGCGGGAACAATATGTCGCACAACATCCCCTTCCTCCAGCAGCTCTCCTCACCGGCTTCTACCCCGGCTCTTTAGCTTGCTTGCTCTGCCTTCGCTTGTATGTGATCAATTCCGACCTCTCCTGCTCAAATGAAAGATCCGAGATCGGATACCTACCCCTACCGAGTCTCGGTACTCTCTGTCTGGCCTCTCCTCATGGGTCTAGCATTTGGTCAGGAAAGAATCCACTAGAGAACAAGCAAACAGGTTTTCCCACCGCATAGAGAGAACAAACAGAGCAGCTACCAAGACACACCACTGCTGTTTTGTGCTACTCCTCCCAGCGGATGCCCTTCTGAGCACAACCCTTCCCTCCCAGCTGAATCCGCTGCGCGCCGTTTCGAGGTTTTCTCCTCCAGTGGCAGTCCCGTGATTTCTGCCATCTAATCCCCTCCTCTTGAGCCGCATGCCCAGTTCCAGCACCGAGATCCAGCCTGCTGACACGTCCGAGCCCAACAGGAAGCCCACCCAGCTGTCCCAACCGCACCTCGGCACCCTACCCACCCATCACTGTACACTTTGCAAAAGTGACATAACCTATATACAGTATATACAACATTCTCACTTCCCTGATAACCTCTCGTGCTGTCCCATGAAACTCTGTTACTCTTGTATCGAGGTTCATGCGACAGCTGTCGCACAACATCCCCTTCCTCCAGCAGCTCTCCTCACCGGCTTCTACCCCGGCTCTTTAGCTTGCTTGCTCTGCCTTCGCTTGTATGTGATCAATTCCGACCTCTCCTGCTCACGCCCCTCCACGGCCTGACCTGCGTCCAGCCCTTGCCACATTCCTGATATGATCCTTCACGACCCTTCCTTGGCTGTTCTGCAACAGCAGGACACCTGATGGCTTTCCCCGCACCATCCATCGTTGCTTACTCAGCCCGCATTCCAAGGTGTTCCGCCTCGGCTCCCTCAAGTATACCTAGTCCCCGAGCTGCAATGCTTCGCCCTCCGAACTCCGGCTGCTCTCCCCCAGCTTGCGCTGCCGGTACCGCCGCGCATCCAGCAGCTGCGCTACCTCCAAGTTATCCAGCGCTGCTGGCAGAGCACTGCATAGGTAGCTCGCTCTGACTGCTGCGACCGCCGGCCAAGTGCGCGGGTCCTCCGTGTCCACTGCTTCCACCATCACCCGTGGTGCGTCCACTGGCAGTACTGGCTCCTTCCCGTGCAGCAGATAGTACAGGGAGTAGTTCCTCAGTGCCTGCTGCTTGCTGAAGCGGTATCCCGCTGCTACCCAAGGCAGGTAGCTGTCCCAGTCCCTCCTCTCCTCCTCCTCGCAGTATTTCCTCAGCCCTTGCTTTAACGTCTGCACCATCCGCTCAGTTAAGCCATCAGCCTATGGGTGGTAGCGCGACGTCCGCCTCTGGGTAATGCCCACCTCCTGCAGAAGAGCATCGAATTCCCCTGCGAACTCGCTGCCCTGATCAGTCAGCACTTCGCCGCAGGGTCCGAACCTCGTCAGGACCTGCTGCATGAAGACCTCCGCCACCCCCGCCGCTGTTTCCCGCGCCAGTGCGGCCAGTTCAATCCATTTGCTCGTGTGCTCAATCATCACCAGTATGTACTGCTTGCCTCGCCTGGAAAGGGGCAGCTCTCCTGCCATGTCTAGCGACCATCCGATGGCCCCTATAGGCAAGGACTGCAGCTCCGTCTTCGTCCTCTCCAGTTTGGCCTTGCTTCTCCTGCAGGGCTCGCAGTTCGCCACCACCTCCTTCACTCCCTTCTTCATCCCAGTCCACCAGTACATGGTCTGCAGAAGCTGCACCGTCCTCGCTGCCGGGTAGTGTCCCAATCGAGTGTGCACCTTCAGGATCAAAGCCTCTCGCTCTTCTAGCTTGGGCACTATTCTCCAGCCATCGTCCGTCACCAACTGCAGTTGATCCTCCTGCCACCTGTAATGTACCCCTCTTGCTCTGACCCTCTCGGGTACCTCTTCCCCCTCTGGCCCCTTGCCTTGCACCCAGCGCAGCACCGGTATGTCCTCCCACACTTCTCTGCTGCCTTTCTCCTTCTCCGTCCGCCGACTCCAGGCCTCCTTCACTGCTGCCACGGCTAAGCAGGTGAGTCCTGTCTCAGCCCTGCTGACTGGCGGCTCTTCCTCCTCTGGACCTTGCCGGGATAGCCCATCCACGTGCTGGAGGGTCTTCCCAGGCCTGTGCTTAATCTCGAACTCGAATTCCTGCAGCCGCATGGCCCACCTCGCGTTTCGACCTTTCAGAGTCTGGTTCGTCATGAGCCACAGCAGGGGTTGGTGGTCATTTACCAGCGTGAACTTCCTCCCTTGCAGGTATGGCCTGAAGAGCTCCACTGCCCACACCGCCGCCAGCCCCTCTTCCTCATAGGAGCTGTAGGTGCTCTCCGCTGGGCTGCATGACCGGCTGGCGTAGGCCACTACTCTCTCTACTCCCTCTTCCTCCTGGCACAGTACTGCCCCCATCCCGCTGCTGCTCCAATCCGTGTACAGCGTGAATGGCTCCTCGGGGTTGGGCAGTTTCAGCATGGGAGCCGTCTTCACTGCTTCCCTCAGCGTCTTCCAAGCGCTGTCTTGCTCTTCTCCCCACTTCCACGGCTCGTCTTCTCTCAGTAGCCGGTTCAAGGCCTTTGCCGTCTTGCTGAAGTTGGGTACGAACTTCTTGTAGCTCAGGAAGCCAAGCTGCGCTCTCAGAGTACTTCTGTCGCTCGGGGGCTTCAGCCTGTCCACGACATCCAACTTTGCCTGCTGCACGGATAATCCTCCCTCTCCCACTTGGAACCCCAGGTATGCCACGGTCTTCACTCCAAAGTGTCATTTCCCGGGATGGCAGGTAAGACCCGCTGCCTGAATTGCTGCCAGCGTATCTGCTACGTCAGCCACATGTTGCTTCACATCCTTGATGTAGACCACCACGTCATCGATGTAACAAAGTGCTCGCGAGACCCCTTGTAGCACCTGGTCCATCACGCGCTGAAACTTTGCCGATGCGTTCTTGAGCCCGAAGGGCATGAAGTTCCACTCATAGAGCCGGTCGGGGCCATGGAAGGCTGTCTTCTGGTTGTCCTCTTCTTTGATTGGGATCTAGTTAAATCCCTGCCGTAAATCTAATGTCGAGTACACTCTCCCCTCAGCCAGCTTGTCGAAGATTTCTTCCGCCACTGGCATTGGGTATCGGTCGCTCTCTTCGTGATGCGGTTCAGCCCTCGGTAATCACCGCACATCCTTCACGCCAGCGTCTCTCCTGTCAAGTCTTTCCTTGCCGCCACCACGGTAGCGGCAGCATACTCTGATGTCGACTCGCGTATGAGGTCGGTTGATAGTAGGCGCATTAAGCTTCTGCTATATCTCTGTCCCCCGGTCTCATTCTTCTTCTCCTTTGGTATACTGGTTTTGCACTCTGCAGTTCTATCTCCATCTCCGCTCGATTGCACTTGCCCAACTCGTCCAGCGAGGAGGCGAATGCTCCCCTCGCCCCCTTCAGCACCACCTTCAGCTCTTCTTGCTCTTCTTCCAGCCCCTCTCCTATATCCCAGTCAGGTGGGATGTCCATTAGCGGCAGTACCTCTTCCTCTTCTTCCTCCTCTGCCTCCGTCTGCTCTCGCACCTCTGCCTCCTGCATTGCTCGAGCCAGGAGTGCGATACTGGTGCTGTTTAGCCAATCTTCATCCCTCTGGCTCTCCGCCCATGCATCTGCTTTCATCCGTTGCCACACCTTGGCCACTTCCAATTAGGCATGAGCAAAACCGGGTATTTACCCCACCCGACCCGGTTTTGCTATACCCGACTTCGGGTCGGGTATTTTCGGGTCGGGTACAGGTCGGGTAACATGCCCAGGACCAATACCCGGACCCGAGATTTGAGGGCAGGTAATTTAATACCCGCCTGGCGGGTCCGGGTATACCCGACCCGGTTTCCTTGAAAAGCGGGTAGTATTACCCGCGTTTTCCTGCCCTGTTGGGCTACTAAACCTACGACCTAGATCGTGCTTAAAAAACGTCAGTTGCGGGAGGGAGTATGAGGTGCGCCAAATCTGTAACAGCTCTGGTGTGGTGAGTGGGGCGTGAGTGGGGCCTGAGTGGGGAGTTGGTTGGGTTTTCGAGTTGGGATGGGGTTGTGTGCGGTTTTAGGGGGTTTGATTCTTTGACCCCCAGAGTCAACTGGTTGGAAGTCCAACCAATGTGGTGCTGTGCGGTTGGTTGGATTCAGGTTGGGTTGCAAATTCGATTGGGGAAATTCGATTGGTCGGAATTCCAACCAATCTCCCCCAATTCAACCGCTCTTATTACATCTGGATCTACGAAATCCAACCCCTGCCACTCTACAATGCTTTATGTGACCTAGCAGCTACGTAACCTAAAAACTTGCTGAAATTTCTCTACCAGCGCGATCAATGTCACGCTGGGTCCGTCAGGTAGACGCGCTACCCGATTTCAGGTCGGGTACCCGCTACCCGACGTGTCGGGTATCATTTCGGGTAGCTGGTATTGAATACCCGCCGGGGTCACCCAGACCCGCCGAGTAATTTTCAGGATTCCCGATACCCGACTCGCCCTAAAAGCGGATCCGGGTAACGGGTACCCGACCCAGGCAGGTAGTATGCTCAAGCCTACTTCCTATTCCTGTACCGGCTCCGCCTCCAGCATCTCCTCAATAACTCTCCACCTCCAGTGCATCAAGAGCTGCATCCTTATGACCTCCAGCCGCTTCTCGGCTCTGTACAGCAACCACATCAACGCATGTACCACTGGTACTGTACCACTGCTGTTTTGTGGTAGGCAACCCACGCACACGCCGCCAACACACGCGCCCAATGTCCATGGTAGGACCTACTGTACAGCAACCACATCAACGCTTGTAACTCCGGCTCTGTACAGCAACCACTGCTGTTTTGTGTTACTCCTCTCAGCGGATGCCCTCCTGAGCAGTGAGCACAACCCTCCCTCCCAGCTGAATCCGCTGCGCGTCGTTTCGAGGTTTTCTCCTCCAGTGGCAGTCCCGTGATTTCTGCCATCTACTCCCCTCCTCTTGAGCCGCATGCCCCGTTCTAGCACCGCGATCCAGCCTGCTGACACGTCCGACCCCAACAGGAAGCCCACCCAGCTGTCCCAACCGCACCTCGGCACCCTACCCACCCATCACTGTACACTTTGCAAAAGTGACATAACCTATATACAGTATATACAACATTCGCACTTCCCTTATAACCTCTCGCGCTGTCCCATGAAACTCTGTTACTCCTGTATCGAGATTCATGCAACAAATGGAGGGAGGGAGGGGGGGAGAAGCAGCGGAGGGGAAGAGCGGTGTGTGGCGACACCTGCATGGCGTGGCCCACACAGCACGAGCAGGCCGCGTCTGCCCCCACACAGTCAACCTTTTCACACCCATTCGCCTTGTGGCTCGACGTAGCCACACGGGTTCACCAGCCCGATGGCCGTGCACCAGTGCAGGGTGCGCTCTTGACCTGGCAGTCGTTCGCACTCACGGCCACTTCACCGCCCTCAAAACTGCCGTAGCGTTGTCCTGTGCCATGGAACGCGCCATCCGTGTCGCTCGTGCCTGCCTGGACGAGCATGGTCCACGGCGGCCCTCCATGCAGACCCGACCAGCACCTTCACAGCCGTGGAGAGCTGCCCGCCTTCCAAGGCCTCTGCGGTAGGGTGATGCTGCCCACGTGCGCGCCTGGGTGGGCCAGCAGAAGTACGACTGGGGGAGGAGAGAAGAGGCGCATGGTGTCGCATGGGCATGCTGCAGCCGTGCGCGCGCCTGGCCAGGATCCCCTGGAATCACAAGCCGTGCGCGCTCAGGGTGATCGGGGGGTGAACAAGACACTCGCCCCCAGCACCACCTCATCCCCCGCCTCGTGCTGTGCTGAAGGCCGAGGGCCGCCAGGAAGGCGACGAGGGACGCCAAGGCAGCAAGTCTGTGGCGTGGCCCACGCTGGTGTGGTCCGTGTCGCTATGGTACCTTCCATCACCGCCCCACGCTTGCCTTCCCAGCGCAAGCTGTCACGGGACCAGGCGGCCCTGTCCGCCACCCTCGGGGGGCTGCGCCTGATGCACCATTGTGCCACGCCACGCACTCTTACCTCGCCTCGCCCGTCTCGTGGCCCTGCAGCCGCTTCACGATGTGGGTCTGCCATCCGCCTGTGCTCTCCCTGCGCGTCTCGCGGGCGTGGAGCCCGCGCTGCCTGCGGAGGCAAAGGCGGGGCGTCGGGCGCGCACACTGTGACGCCAAGTGCAGCGCACGCACTCTGGAACCATGGGCCACACGCACCGCCGCCTCCTCTCCCGCCTTGGCCTGGACGCCAGTGACTGGCTTCTTGCGCTGCCGCTTCCCCCCCCCCCCCTCTAACTCTTGCCGTCCAGTTTTCGACCGCCACGGCGTGCCCCTGCAAGTCCCGTGCGGTGGCAGTGCGAGTGGCAAAGGGCCTGCTTGTTCCCCAAAAGTCGCTTGCACAACCACCTCCTGCACTGCCATGGCGGTAAGGGGCACACGCCTGTCACAAACCTCTTGGCGGATCTCCCTGCCCGCCATGCCCACACCGAGAAAACTTGCATCTGCCATATGACCGTCACAAACCCCATCTCAAAAGGGAGGAGGGTATGCGGGATAACGGGATGGGGTGCCCTTGTGGGGGCCCGTAAAAGGAAGGAGAGTATCCGGTGGTCAGCGATGGGTGGCCTTCTCACCACGGCACCAGAAGCACACGACCTCTCCCCCCAGAGGGTGCTTGGAAGTGCGCCCACCTCGCACGCAAGTGCGGAATGGCACAGCGGGCAGGTGGTCCGTGACTCCAGCACGCCCACCAGCGCAGCGCTACAGCTGCCCCACGCCGCGCCCCCCACACCAACACCAACGCCGCATGCCGGCACATGCAAATCGCTTCCTTATGCATTCCACCCCCTCAACCCCACTACTTGGTTGCCGCGCTAGAGCCCCCCCCTCCCATCCCCCAACATCCCCTAAGGTTCCAGCGATAGCTGGTAAATATGCATGCCTTAGCCTTCCATGTATGCTCGCCGGGCACTAAAAAACACAGGACCATTAGAGAGGGATGAAGAGGGAGGGGTTGGGAGAGAGGGAGGGGTTGGGAGAGGGGAGAGGTTTGGGAGAGAGGGAGGGTTTGGGAGAGAGGGAGGGGTTGGGAGAGAGGGAGTGCGGGAGCTTACAGAAGCAGCAGCCTTCGTATTGCTTGGCTCCGCTGCGGAATTGAGGCGAAGTAGGATGGGACGAATGGCAAAGGGGTGGAGAGTGATAAGGCAAGTGAATGAGGAACGCAAGGTGGCAGGCAGGCAGGCAGAACGCAGTGTGGCAACATGGCAAGCAGCACGGTGGAACGACAGGTGGGTGTGGCGCGCATGAAGATGATGCAAGTAGACAGGCCATGGCGCACAGCGGAGGGAAACCAGGGGCGAATGCACGGCACTTGCACAAAGACATGCAGCATGGCTGGCGTGTGCATGGCTGCTGGTGCATAGTGAGTGGGTGGCGGGAGGAAAGCTGGCAGTGGGCATGGGGGCATGGGGGCATGGGGGCGTGGGGGCATGGGGGCATGGGGCCATGGGGGCATGGGGGCGTGGGGGCATGGGGGCATGGGGGCATGGGGCCATGGGGGCATCAGTGCATGGGTGCATGGGGGCATGGGGGCATGAGGGCATGGGTGCATGCATGTGGGGCGGCGCACTGGAAGTTGAGGGGCGAGACGGTGATGGTGCTGTGGCTGTCGAACACGATGTGTCCACGCGGGTACACGTCGCTGCGCTGCATGCTGCCACCCACGCAGACGCCGCCAACACACGCGGCCAATGTGCATGGGGAGGGGGTCGGGAGTGGGAAGTGAGCACAGTTGGGGAAAAGGGAGGCTTTGAGCCATGCACTGTGTGGATTGGACTCAAATGCCATGGGCGAGAGGGCAACTCGAGAAGACACAGGGAAGGCATGGCGGATGCTGGGCACGGTAGTGCGCCACACCCCCCACACCCCCACGCCGCACGCTCCTCATCCCCCCCCCTCCCTCACCGGTACTCCATGCGCGCAGTGGTGGGGTCCAGCACAAACCATCGCTGGTTCCACAGGTGCAGCTGCCCAAGGGGGGGAGAGAAGGAGAGGGGTGGAGTAAAGCAGAGCGAGCTGTGAGAGGTGGGCGAGCGAGCGGGAGGAGAGGAGGAGAGGCGACGCGGACACAGCGAGCGAGCATGGAGGGACGGGAAAGTGGGGAGACAGCGAGGAGAGGCGATGCACGCGGCAGGAGAATAGGCAGCGCGGGGCGGGCTGGTGAGAATCCACGAGGGACACGCGTGGCCAGGGAGGAGCGCGGGGGAAGGGGAAGGCGCCCGTGGTAAGGGTGAAGGGGGGGGGGGAGCGGAGTGGAAGACGGTGCAGTGAGATGTGCCGTCCCTGGCATGTGCTTGGCCCCCATCGCATGCACGGCATGTGTCACATGCACCCACCCACCCGCGTCGCTCCACTCACCCGTCGTCCCTTCCGTGAGTGCGTGGCACCATGCCCACATGCCACCGCTCCCAGCCCTTCAACCATCCCCCTCGCCCCACCCCCTCCATCACACCCCACTCCCTCCCCCGCCCGCAGCGTAGCACCCAGCACCGCCACGCACCGTTTCCGACCGCTTCAGCAGGTAGCCCTGCACCAGGCACGTCCGCCCTCCTGCCGCCCCCACTCCCTCCTCGCCGCTCGTGCCCGAGTCCCGCCCCTGCTCGCGCGCCCTGTCCGCCGTCACCGCCATCTGCGCGCGTGAGCGGCGGAAGCCGGGGAAAAGGGAGGTGGAGGGAGGGACGGGGGGGGGGGGGGGGGGAGGATGCGGGGTGTGGGTTGGAGGGAAAGAGCGCAGGCGAGCGCTACGACGGCGACGGCGGCCACGCGCGCCGTGCGAGCAGACACGCGAGGCGGCGCAGCGGTGGGAAAAGGGGACGGACGTAACACAAGGAGGGCGGGGTGAGGGAAGGAGAGGCAGGGGTGTGAGAAAAGAAAGCGAGGGACGCAGAGGCACGCCAGGATTGCACACGCAACGCCATGGCACAGCCGAGAAAACGGACGCCGCGAAGCGCGCTCCCAACTCTGAGGGCACCCACCAAGTCGCGCGTGATCCGCGACGTCGCCATCGGTGGTAACACGGCCGAGCGAACTACGGCGAATGGCGACAAATCGACGGGTTGGCAGGAAGCAGACGCTCGAGGCTAACACGCGAGGGCGAACGCAACTTGCGGCTCACGACTGCTAGCGACGCGAGGAGCAGAGCGCGCAGGGCGGAGGCGGCGCAGAAATCAAATTAAACAGGAAACAACGCAAATCCATTATGTCTCTGCGGATCGAGAACGGTATGGTGCCCCAGCCCCACACGTTGCGGCTGGAAGATGGGACCCTGTGCGTGTATTATAAAGGTAAGCTTTTTGGAAGAATACTACACATAAGGAAATCAATCTCCTTACTACAACATCGCTATATCGGGTATGCATTTTGCTCCCATCTTAGGAGCGCAACACAGCGAGAAGCAGGGTTTTTTCTTAGCGAAAATTATTACACAAAAAATCGAAACCAGCCCGCTAGGCACGAAGCAAACAAGTAAGCTCAGGAAGCGTGGGAAAATAGGCTCAGAGCACACTCGACGAGCACGAAGTAAAAAAAGCGCATGAACGTGCTGTCAGAGTAACAAATTTAAATCTAGGAAGGCATAGTTGGGTGTTGTACTCTCTAAGAGCATAAACCCATCTAGCCTATAACTATACATGCAATGCTTTTATATAAGTTGACACACCCCCTAGGCTAGATAAGGGGCAATGCCTAGCATGCAACAGGCAGCTCAGGGTGGCACTACTTGTTAGAGAAGCAGGAAAATTTGTGACTAAGGGAAAATGTCGATGGATACAAAACTATGATTGTACTCGCTAAGAACTAAACTACCTAGGCTATAAACAAATATGACATAACTAATCTACATAAATATATTTGTTAACACATCCCCTAGCCTAGATAGTGGCACTTCATAACAAGACAGAGTATACCAGGACAGCACTACTAGTCTAACCTCTAATGAAGGCAACAAGGCAACTCAGGGCAGCACTACTAGTCTGACCACTAAGACAAGAGGCCACAAGGCCAGTCAGCAAGTGTAGCAAGACAACCAGGTATAGAACAACAAGTACAAGCAGGTATAGTATGACTCAAGATACAAGGAGTGGTGCTGCTACGGAGACGAGACAAAGCTGCGTACAGAACCGCTGATGGTCACGAGGCGCAAGTGCCTTGGTAAACATATCAGCGGTGTTGGCCTCTGAGGCCAACTCTACCACTCGAGCTTGGCCGCACTGCTACAACTCACGCAACAGGAAGTACCGCAGCTGGATGTGCTTCGCTCTGCCCTCAAGTCGAGCCTCCTGACACATGAGGATCATGACACTGTTGTCTGCAAACAGGACCGGGGCTGACCTATGCTGCTCACCTAAGTCAGTAAGCAAAGCCAACGGAGCTCCTGAGCGGCCATGGCCCTAGCGTAGATCTATGCCTTACAACTGGACAGAGTTACAGACGATGACCTGGTGGACCTCCATGAGACTGCACCAGCACCAAGACTAAAATAGTAGCTTTGAGACGACCGAAGCGTCTCCACGTCGTCAGCCCACGACGCGTCTCTGTGTCCAGTAAGCACCACTGGCTCCCGTCCTCCTAGCACAATGTTAAAATTATCTAAGTTATAATTTATATAGGCTTGGTAGGTTGTTACTGAACCTTTCTGTAGAGGGTACAAACCCCTCCTTGTATGCCTCTCTCTTACTACTCCAACCACTCTTTTCTTCTCGACATTTCTCCTCACTACTCACGTTCCTAGATCTACTTTCCTCCCACCATCCCATGGCGTCATTCCTAGCTAAGCTAGTGCCCTAACTTTAGGAACCTAGACTCCTAAGTTTCTGAGACACAAGCCCCAGCCCTGAAGTACTCGCCAGATACCGCATTACCCTCTTGGCAGCCAACTAGTGGACTAGGCGGTGCCTGCCTATCGCAACAAAGAGAGCCATGAGACTGAGAGGGTACGCTAGATCTGGTCTAGTACAGGTCATCAGGTACAGTGGCGGATTAAATTGCCCGGATGTTTAGCACTTTGAAACGTATCGCTATGCCACACATGTTTCGAAAATAGTAACACCCGTTTTTTGCCATTCCGTTACAAGGTTTTCCAGTTCTGCTTCAACCGTTTCTTGCTTGGCACGATTGTGACACAACCTGAAAGTGGGGTTGAATTTACTCCTCGACTATCGATGCGGACATTTCTAACCGAGCAGAAGAGTAGATATATTTTCCCCCGTCACTCAGTATGTACATCATCACGCGCAACAATTGCTGGCTTAGGAGTTAGTCCGGAAGCGAGCCTACGACCGCATCGCCATGAAGCCGTTAACTGAGCGGAAGCGCGCGCGAATCATAAGCATGTTGCATGCGGGGCATTCGACTAGGAAAATAGGCAAATTTCTTGGCATAGGCAAGAGCACCGTGCACGATTACAGTTTGAAAGTGGCTGCCGAGACTAGTCTCGAGGAGGTGCGACCTACGATGCCTTCGGCCGGCCGCCCCCGCTTAATCACTACCCGTCTCCAGCGCGGAATAATACGCGCGATTACAAGCGGCGAGGCGAAAAGCTCTGTAGAAGCGGCAAATATGTTGTTGGAGAAGCACGGTCTCACCGTAGACTCGAAGACGGTCCGGAAATCATTACGATCCGCGGGGTTGATCGCCGTGCATCAGCCCAAGAAACCCAGGCTCTCACCGAAAAACATCCGAGATCGTCTCAACTTCGCGCGGTCGCATGCCGACTGGACGCTGGAGGACTGGAAGCGGGTGATTTGGTCTGACGAGACAAAGATAAACTGCTACTGCTCCGACGGACGTGCGTACGCCTGGATTCGCGAGGGCACCAGCCTTCGGAGCCATCAAGTCCAACAGACAGTTAAGCATGGGGGCGGTTCAGACTTTCTGATGTCCTAGAAAGTGATTTTGTATTCGTCTGGAAAAACAGAATGGGTGTATTCGTTCTTCTGAGTTTTTTGACTTAGCGAATCCATCCGTCTGAAACCAATATCTATAGGGCTGTATACAGCCCCCTTATACAGACCGCGTATACCACGCGGCCCGCGTTGTGGCCGCCCACCCAAAACGTGAACGCACTATTCTGGCAGCTTTACATGACGCGTCACTCGCAGCGAGGCATTAGCAAGGCAGGGTGTGACTCAAATGCTGCCCACAATCAGCTGCGGCAGCATGTGATGGCACATGCATGTGAATCTCATTGGCTTGTCTTGTGACAGCGCACAAGGATACCATCGCCGTTGCCAGCTAAGGGGCGTGCGCGCGCTGGGTCGTGTGTTGCAATGCATGCTGCAGCTGCAGCTCCACATCTGATTGGCTTGTCTTATCAACAGCATAGTACCCCTCGCCTATTGGCTTGTCGCCAAGTGCCCGCTTCGTGCAGGAGACGAGAACCTTCGCCAGCTTTGGACGATGGATGGATGCTCCCCGTGCCGCTGGAGACGCATGCGCGCCCTGAGGATCTGTGAATGAAGGACCACGCCCAGGTTCTTCTCCTGTCCTCGTTGCGACGCTCACTCCTTCCCCTCACTATGTTGACGATACACGGTGATTACTTGTCCGTTTTCTACCTGCTCCATAGCCCGTCTCACACCACTTCGACATGGATGCTGGCGCCGTTAGAGATGGCGGCGCCGCATCTGTAGTTCCTCCCGCGGCTGGTATGCCCCCCGTAAGTGGGCTTGATTTCCTGCGTCTAGCTCACCAGACCTGCCCAAATCCAGAGGCAAATCACGTGCCTGCAGTCCCATCACCCGCAGTAGCGCCGCCATTTAGCGAGATACTCCCAGAAGTTAACAGCGACCCGTTACTCGCATCCACTCCCCCAACGTCTCCTCGCTCTCCTACCGCTGTATCAGCTAGGCGGTCCCCTCTGCTGTCCGTCGGCGCTGTACAACAGCTGCCGAAGCCACGGTCCATTCGACAGTTCACACAAAGCACGATACGCTTTGCACGCACCCGTGTTCCTCACATCCGTATCGAGGCTCGCGCCTCCACTGACGAACCACCTTCGTCGGCAGAACATCCCGAAGCTGGTTCTTCTGCTGACCGGCCGGTCCCGAATCCGAAGTCCCGTCTTTGCTGCCGTCTCATCCCTGACCCTGACGCGCTTCTAGCTGAGCTAAAAAGCAAGGCTGAGGAGCAGTGGGTCCGAAAGTTCCCATGGCTCATCATCGATCAGCGCCCCGACGGACGTCCGTGCATGAAATGTCGACTTTGCATGGCTCACGCACCTCCCACCTGGCAGTACGGAAAACTCGGCAACGGCGGAGTGGATATCCAGAAGCAAACAATGGTGAAGCATTCTCAAAGCAAGAAGCACGAGGCCGCAGAGGAGAGACAGCAGCAGCTGGATGGCAAGGTCACGTCGCAGCCGAGCATCACAGAGTTCGAGGAGTCCCTTGAGTCCCTCGACAACCGCCTCAGGCAGTTGTTGCTCATCGTTTTGTGGATTTGCAAGTCTGACGCCCCCATTGGCATGTTTGTTTCTCTTCTTCGTCTTCTCGTCGACTTACGGACTCCACACATCCCTGAGAAAGCCTTCGGCACGTACCATTCTGAGTAAGTCTGTCTGTCGTTTCTTCGCAGTAGATACTCAAGGACTACCGTTCTGACTAAGTCTCTCTCTGTTATTTTGCTTCTGCAGGTACGGCTTCAAGCAGATCACTGAAGCACTAGTCGTCTACCTCCGCGCCCAGCAGAAGAAACACATTGACGCATCTCCATTCGTGGGCATTCAGCTGGATGAGAGCACCGACAGGCGGCGTGGGAAACACATGATTGTCTATCTGACATTCTTGAAGAACGCCAAGGTCGTGACTGAGTTCTACGCTCACCTCACAGTTGAGAAGTGTGATGCCAGCTCTCTTCTATCAACACTACTGACACACCTGGAATCTACCGGGCTGGATCTGAACAAGATCAGCGGCATCAGCACTGACGGCGCCAGCGTCATGACCGGCGTGAACCGGGGCCTCGTGGCGCAGCTCCGAGCCAAAGTTCCGCACCTCGTCGCATGCCACTGCATCGCGCACAGGTCAGTTTTGGTTGGTGCCGTGTAATGAACTTGTACTTGGTGTTGCGATGTCCGTTGATTTAAATATGAGCCAAGTGCATGTAACCAAACATTGAAGAACTAATGTTTTCGTTTGTAGCTTGCAGAGAGGCGTTGGCTGCGAAGGATGCAGCCACCGAGT